AGATTGGATAAAAGATTTGATTTGCATCTTGGAATTTTATGTTTCTACATTTGGCCAAAACTTGCTCATCACTCTCCAATCAGCCTTCACACGAATTCTTGACTTAATCTTCTGATTTTAGGCTCATGATATGATCATAAAACAAATCTTTTGGATTTAATTCATCATTTTACTATTTTATTTGATTTATTAATATTTAAACGAATGAAAATTCAAATAAATAAAAATAAATATCATAAAAATAAAATAATGGATTTAAATGTATTGAATAAGTCCATGGATATGTTTGAGATCCAAAACCCATGCCCATTAGTTCAAAAGATCCAATTTGCTCACATTGACTTTTGTGCATTTTTCAAAAATTGGTCAACTTTAGCAATGTATATCTCTCTCAATTTTAACCCTATGGAGGTTTTCTTAGACTTTTTAGAGAGTTTAGGATGTCCTCTAAACAACCCTTTTGGTTTCATCTCAATTGGATTTTCCATGTTCATGTAATGAGCTTTGGAAAAAGATGACTTTTTGTTGACTTTTAAGATGACCTATAATGTTTGAGCTTGTATCTTTTAACTGGGGCATTTATTGAACTTTAGGGATGAAGATAAGTTATAGAGAATTGGATTCTCTTCAAAATGAGCTTTGGTGGAAATTGTTTTGATAAAGTATGAGAGAGTTATGCCTGGTCAAAGTTTGGTTGACTTTTCCTATAGAAACCCTAATTAGCAATTTTTGACTTTTGATAAATTGGGAGCATTTCTTGAGGAATCATGATCGACGCTTGATCAAATGATGGACATTACTTCAAAATATTGATGTTGACCAAAAATCTTGAAGTTTGACTGTATATAGGTCACAGTTGACTTTTGACCTAGTACAGTTGATTTTCAAGCAGTTGAGCAGTTGATTGAGCAAACTTGTTGTGCAAGGCATGGAATTTGGCAGGGATGATCTTGAGGACATATTTTGGCCATGGAGAACATTTGGGGCCCTTAGAACTCACACATCTTGCTGAAAATTGAAACCCTAGTTAGAGGTTTATTGCCTTAGGAGGAGAATTTGTCTAGTCAACTCTTAGTCATCCTTGGGCAAGTTGGGGACTTCAATGGGCATGTCTTGAGTAAAAATGAGAGGGAAAATTTTGGGGTACAACAGGAAGGTTATGCTGAACAAAGTAGACAGAACATGGAGGGATTTCCCGAGGAAAAAAAGCAGGTGTGAATAGTTGGAGAAAAGTGTGGAAAAGAGGCTTCATGGTGGGGGCCACATTATGAAGTGGCAGGTGCCACTAAAAAACTTGAATGTGGCAAGAGTCACGTTATGAGTGGCAGGCGCCACTTAAAGAAAGTGGTGGGCGTCACCATTCATGGCAGGGGCCACACTAGGTGTGGTGGGCGCCACTTCTTTGTAAGATGGGCTTGGACTTTGCAATTTTTTTTTCTTTTGCTGCTAATGCTTCATCCCTTCTTTTCTCTTTTATCATCTTTCTTGAATTTATTTATCTTTTTCTTTTTACTTGAATCTCTAACTTGCTCGATATACCTGAAATAGGATAATAATACCGACATAACATTGCAAAAATAAGGGAAAAATAAGCTAAAAATTCATGCGAGTCAAGTCAAATTTACGATATAATTTCGCGTTATCATTCCTTTTAAAAATTCAATTACACATGCAAGTAACTTGCTAACCAAACTCCTTTTCAAATGGAACCTACTCTAAGTGAGGTTTCGTCCTAACCCACGGTAATTGTTACGTTACGCAAGTTAGGAGCGAACCAATCATCCCTAAAAAGGCCATTTGTTTTTAGGTTTTTTCTTAAGTTCCCTAGAGTCGATGATCCAAATTTAAAACATCATCGCCCAAGTGAATAACTCACCCAATCAATGTTGTTTTCTCAAAGGTCCTACTCTATGAGGGGTATTATCACCTCTTTCTTAACTCTACGTCAAGAAAGTTTAATACTAATCCACATCCTATATTATGTGTCTCTCGAGCTCGTGTGTAGAGCTATATTTCACAAATAGCCAAGAATCAAAATATTCCAACCACTATGGATAAGAAACCATAAAATAAAGACAATAAAGAAACAAATAAATAAAGCTAACAACAACACAAGAACCACAAAACTAGGGTGGACTCTCCAAGGATTTCTTCCCAATGAAGTCGCTAACTGTCGCGGCATGAAGAAATAATCGAGCGTTCGCACTCTCAAAGGTATTAATGAAGTTGCCATCGAATTTTATTTATTATTAAAAGAAAAGGGAAAAGATAGAGAAAACTCACAAAAGAATAGATATAGATTTGAATTTTTAAAAAATGGGCATGGATGCAAACCAAATGGCTAATGAAGTGGAAATCGAGACAAACTAAATTTAACAATATGAACAAAATGGAGGGTGAAATCGGGGTATGACACCTATCATCTCAGAGGACTAAAAGAAAATCAAAGACTAACGGTTCCTCATGGGTGAAAAAAAATCTCCTCCATATAAGATCCCAATAAATCCTCTCGTCTTCCCACTACTTATCTTATCCACAGAACCATCATGAATTTGATATGCAAAGAATAGTCTTTGAAACCAAGTCTTAAGAGGTATATTCCATATCTCAGGATCTCCGCAAAGGATATCTAAAGACACATATAATTCCTTTTGATTATCAGTTGGCTCATGATATGGTAATGAGTTAAATTGTACCACTTCATTGATAAAGTTATATTGGTTTTATTTGTTATGCTTTGAATGTGGATAAAAGATTGTAAGACTCAGAACTAAAGAACTTTATGGAGGCATTCAAAAGGAAAAAGAGTAACAAATGGTTGAAAGTGGTGAATGATGAAACACACTCATTAATAAAGAATCATACTTGGGAGCTTGTGAGACTATCTATGAAACAAAGTGTGATTGGATGCTAGTGGATGCAAATGCCTAAATTAAGGTTCAAGTATTGCTTGTAATTGATCAAGTTTATTAAAAAGTGATTCAAACTTTGGAGAGAACACCAAAGTGGTTGATGGGTAAATTGACATAATCATAAATTTTAAAGGCATTGTGAAGAATTATGGAGATTAACTTCAAAACATTCAATAAAAGATTTGCGAAAACACATTGCGTTTGAAAGGAATATAGTGCGTTTAGAGAAACATAGTGCATTGTGTGAGAGCCACTAATATCATGTGTTTTTCAGAAGGTGCATTTGATCCTTTCAATATCACAACAATAAAATTATTAGTAAATTTTTTATTTAATATATTTTAATTGATTTTAAAGTTAATTGATTTAAAGACTATATTAATTTTTATATCAAGAAAATATTTTAAATATTTTAGAGATATAAGCCAATTGTCATTTTTATACCATTTGGTCCCCATGTGGCTCGAAAAATTCCAAGAGAATGATGCATTTGATTTCAGCATGTGTTTATTATTGAGTTTTTCTTTTGCCCATAATATGTTATACTAATTCATAAAATAAATTAAATAGACACCGTGCATTTACACATCAAGGTGCATGCGTATTAATTTTGTTTGTTTGATAAATTTACTTATAGATAATATTGTTTGATGTGATTTATTTTAGTTGCTATTCTTTATCTTATATATTTGTGTATTTTGAATTTTTCAATTTCATTACAAGAGTAAAATTATTATTTATTTTTAAATATTTTTTAATATAAAATTAAAATTCATTTAACTAGGTGTAAGTTTAAAAGACTTTACAAAATCTCAATTGTTAAAAGGATTGATCAGACGATCATATTAAATATAATATGAAATAATAAATATATAACTTATTCTTTTTTCTATTAAAAAGTTATGTATATAACCGTTTGGTTGAGTGTTATTAATGGTTCACATTTAGTGTAAGTCTTTTAGACTTAAACCTAGTGTCAACACGGATTTTGACTATATATATATATATATATATATATATATATATATATATATATATATATATATATATATATATATATATATATATATATATATATATATATATATATATATATATATATATGGAAAAAGGACAACAAGTTTTATCTTTTTTTGGATGAAAAAATCAATCTTTTAAAAATTATATTTATTGACTTAGGAGACATAATATTGTTTGTGGTAGAAAATCAAAAGTGTCAAAGACAAATGATATAAAAGTATGTTGATTGTCAGAATACGTTTTTTAGTGTTTGACCACAGTAAAACCTCAAGTTCTCAATTTCACCAATAGGGAAACCCCAATTAAGCCCATACATACATATTTCTCTCATACCCAACCGTACACTCGAATATTTACGGACCTAAGTTTCGTTCTCCCATCTTCTGGGTTAGTTAAGAAATTCATAAGTGTCTCTTCATAGATACCCTGACCGGTTAAAATATATCAAATAAGACATCGCTAACAAAGTCACATCGACGTTTGAAGACTGTAAGCTTCTTACAATGAATCGTGTGTTCTCCAAATATATCGAAGCATGTCTTGCAACAAATAAGACAAATCTCAATTGAAAATAAGTTACAAGAAAAATTCAATTTTGCAACACATGATTTACGAAGGGTACTCAAAAACCGACCTTAATTAAAGTTAACGACAGGTTTTGCGACAGTTTTCCTTAACAGCCACAATGTTTTAAATACAATACAATAACTCAATATATGGTCTATATGATGGAATAGACCAGCACATGGCTGCGACGGTTGTAGATCTGCCTCCGCTTCATCTTCACGACGGTTAGCTCGGCCACTCTCACTCAATTTCATCAAATCTAAAAGAACCCTTTGTTCATTTTTAACTATAGCGCTTCTTTTAAATTTTACCCCCAAAATCTAAAAAACCCTATGTTTATCTTGTGCATTTTTGCTGCGTTTTCCCTCTCTCCTCAAAATGTAAATATGAATGAGAACCCTTCGATTCCTCAAATCTTAAAAACCCTAAATTATCTCTCTAATCTCCCGTGAATTAATTCATCCAATATCTCTTGAACTTGATTCACATCAAACCTTTCTCTCAGTAAATCGATGGTTCTTCTCTGCCCACCGTCTCTGTGACGACATCGAATTTCTTCATCCGATGTTTCAGTGCCAAGAAGGAAGAAGGGTTGTCTACTAACTTAAAATTCAACACGTCTATTTTATTTGGCAAACATGATGAGGTAAACTTGCTTATGTTTTCAATCATTTGATTTCTTTTATCTTTTATTTGAATGTGTTTTTGTAAGTAGCCTCTACACCCTAACTGATTGAGCATATGACATGAGTATTATTTTACATTTTTAGAATTCTAAATTTCATTACAGTAACGTTTGGTCTAAATTAATATAGATTTTGTTATGACTGTGATTTTGTTGTATATACATACTTTTTTTCCTTGCATGTTTCTTTGTTTCTAATTAAATTATATATTTACAACACATGTTTGAGCCTGATTCCCCCTGAAATTGATGAGCATATGAGAAAATATGAATGCTTATGAAAGCCGAGGAGCAGAAAAGAGCTCAACCAAAGAAGCAGCCATGAGATGAAGCTCAAGTATGTAGATGGAGTTAACATGTAGGACATTTTTCTTGAAAGAACTCATGTTAATCATGAAATATAAATTTTGTACTATTTTTGAAACAAGAAATTCATGTGAAAACTTAAAGCATGAATTCTTAAATAATTGGCACCAATTGTTTGCAAATTGCAAATAGAAGTTTTCTATTTTAACTTTCCTTCTTTATAATTTTTCTATGTGTTCATGTACGGTTTGGAGCTAACACATTTGCAACACTTAGATTGGCCAGTCTTTCTAAGAACAAAGTAAAACTGATGGTAAGGACAATTTTCCTTAAAATAGTATAAAGCAAATTGTGTATGGTTAAGTATCATTCATCAATCTCATAATGTGTACAATGAAACTTTTCTCTTTTCATCAAAACCTATATGATATACGATAAAAATATGCTTAGCGTTATGATTTTAGGCATAAAACTTCTCTCTTTTTGTTGCTAATGTTGTACAAATTTCTGGTGACTTGAATTTTGAATTGTTCATCTAAGTTTCGCAGAACGATACATGTCATTTATCTAGTTCCAAGACCTTTGGACAAAAGTTGAAAACATGCATCCAGTGTCACTCGATTACTACTATTCATAAATTCTAATCCAGCTAGAAGGCTTTGTTGTGGAGTTACACAGATCAACTTGATTAATTTTGGTTTATCCTCTTAGGTTAACTTTTACGTGTTAAGGTATTAAATAACTAAATTGTTTGTGTCACTATAATTTGTATAGGAATAGGAAGATGCATCCATTAATAAGTTGAGAAAGAACTTGGTCATTAAAGCATAACCAATACCAAGTTTCTACTATGAGGTTTTCTATCAGTGTGTAAGTGGTAAGTCATTTCCAATTCTGCGTATAAGTTATACTTGGTAGCCTATGTTGGGATAAATAATTATCTACTGTGGGTAATCTATGTGAGACATTTGATTACAATACTTTTCCATTCTCTGCACACCACCTTTGAACCCTTGCAAACCACTTCGCGGCTAATTCTCCTTGACACTCTTGCACTGATTTGTCGTGTTGACACTGAAGTGTAGGTTTCTATGTCTTTATGCATACATTTCACTGTGTTGTGGTTGATATTGATCCAATGAGAAATTTTATGTTCAATATTAACATGAGAGATTTGATTTTTTTACATAAATTACTCTAACGATATTGTCATGTTCTAGATATTATGTTAAGTTCCTAATTCCTTTATCCCATGATCACTTAAGTTTTCATAATCTACTGGGTTATGAATGTGAAAGAAGGGGATCTTTCATTTGTTTTTAATTCTTATTTCTCAACTCAAGACATGTTTGGCTTTCGTTTTCAATTCTTAGTGTTTTCTTATCACTAATTAATTAATTAAATATGATTTTAATTTTAGTGGATGCAAGACTGAAAACAAAACTCAAGTCATAATTAATTTGTTTACTAACTTTAATTAACTTAGATGTTCATATCTTCTTCACTTTTATAGATGCATATTGGAGCAAAGTCTCTCAGAGGATAATCTCTTTGTTTTTGTTCTAATATTCAAATACTTCAAAGTTCCAACATTGTATCAGGTAATGCATAAACCTTATTGTCAACAGAAAACTTTGAGCAGTTTAAACTTTTATGTTATTTTAATAAGTTATTATTGGTACTTCATATTGGACTAGATCAAATGCAAATAAATGAATAGTTTTCTTCCACTTCTTATTGGAGTTACAAAATGGTGTACTTTCCTATGGTATTGCTGGTGTGGTTGTTTTTTGCTTGACAATAATACTTCTTGGAACAACCACCATTCAGGCGTGTTTTCAAGATGGATACATTTCTTATAATATTTTTCATATTTTCTTTTTTTTTCAATAAAATATCTATACTTTTTATTGATAGTCATGTTTTCATTAATACTTTGATGTTTAGAGGTTTCAGGCAGTCAACCTTCTATTGGTGGCAATGCTACTCTTCTCATCATTTAAGGTGATGATTCTCATTATTTAATATTTAAGTACTTCTTACTTGCTTGGTATAAGGCCTTCTACATTCATGTTTGTCAAGAAAACTTATGTACACTCATTATATGTTTAAGCTATACTTTTTGTGGATGTTTTTTTTTCTTTTTCATGTTGACAATTATAGTTTTGTTTTCAGAAGATGTGCTAGTTTCATGTGTCCTTTTTAACTTCTAGTTTCTAAACCAGCTATATTGATTACTTTGTACTTTCGTCGAAAATTTTGGCAGTTGATACCTAACATTCAAGTTTACTGTTGAAATTTTAGTTCAAAATCAATCATTTGATTTTAAATTATTATTGGTAACTTAAGTTATTATGAATGCCAAAATTGAGACTTCTGGTACAGAAAAGATGTGAAGTTCTATTTTTTATGAAAAGTGTTAGAATGTGATTATCAATTTAAAGCAGTATATACCATGAAAAAATTGCCTTTGAAAACATAGTATTTTCTGACCACCATTGTTTCTATTCAGATTTTAAAGTGAAGTGGTCTTTATTTAAATTTTATCTACTTGAGCTTGAATTATACTGATTATCGAAGAACATAGCATTCTCTGACCACCATTGTTTCTATTATACTAATAATTAGATATGACTATGATCTGCCTGATTTTTTTTCCATGTGAGTATAGTATAGCAGGTTTGGAAATATGGATCTGGTCTTGATTACAAGTTATATGAATTATATTTATTGTAAATTGCAGGCATACACTACTTTTAAATTTGCAGATGCATGTCTTCCGACATTGAAAGGAGAGGTCGGAATCATTCATGTGCATATGTTGATTCACAGGTAGGAATTAAAAATCAGCTTTAAATTAAGATAATCTGAGATGCTCTTCTCTATCATAATTTTAATAGAATGTAGTATTGTGTGTTGTTGGGTTTTCTACTCAAAGTTGAAGCTCGAATAAGTATTTTTCAAAAGGACTAACAAAGTCTTTTGTTATAGGTGACTGAACTCCCATTCTTTGCATCAAAAGTATGACTTGGCCGTGACGGAGTTGAGGGATTTCTCCCTCTAGTTCCCTTAAATGGTTATGAGAAGTATGCAGCAATTTATGGATATGAATAAGTTTTAGAGTTTGCTATATTAGAAGCTCATTGTAATTCCATTCCATTAGTTTTTGTGACATTGTTATTGTGTTCATGTATGATCAAAGTTCTGCATATGTTGAGTACTTGATTCAATTTGAGTTGTTTTATGATGTTAGTGTGATTTGTTTAATATCTATCTATGTAGCTTTGTATTGATAATATATACATTCTGATCTGTTCATAACAATGCTACATTAGATGTTTAATTTTTTTTTTAAATTAATTAATTTAGCGGGGGTTATAAACCTCCAAAGTCGATTTTAAACTGCCGCAATCAATAGTGTAAATGAAACATCAAATAAAATTCACGACAGTGAAAAAATGTCACTAGCTTACTTTAAATGCGATTTAGAACCGTCATGCTTATCTACTACGGTTGGAATGACATTTTTATAAACCGTCGCCAAAAGGGCCTGCGACACAGGTTTCTGCGACGGCTGTGGAACCGTTGTAACCTGTATTTTACGACGATTAGAACCGCGGTAATCTTTCGAAACAACCGTCACAGCTTGCAAATTTTCTTGTAGTATCTAAGGATAGAAAGGAGAAAATCATGAGCACGTGTTGTTTGCAAACAATTAAAATTATTTGCTGTCTTATGGTCATATCAAACTTTGCGTTCATGTTCTTATTAACACTATTATTAAAAAGGGCATTCGTCAAAACATGTTGTGTTTTAGGAGATACAATGTCCTTGCTAGCAAAACTACTAAAGTCAAAATCTGGAATCACAACACTAAAATCATCCAAAGCTTTGTCCAAATTAGAATTCATACCATATATTCCATTATCTCTCAATATATGATCATATAACCCTTAGGATTGGACCCTAGAAGCAACAAAAGCGAATGAGACAACCTCTACTGTCGAGTAGAAACCATATCCCCTAACTCTAATAGATAAAGAAGTCACCCTCTATTGAATGTCTCCAAAGAAATTACCTCCACCAATAATGATGCCTTCAACCGTCCTTTGCAACTCTTTATCAAACCAAATATTTACTTCCTCCATATGATTAGGTAATGACACGTTCTTAGGAAAAAAATAATTTTTGCGACGCTCACGCATCTTCAAAGTAAAAGAAACTCACTCTGAGAATTTCTTAGTTATGACAGAAGATACATTAACTCAACAACCTTTTCAACTCTTTTTATGGACAACTCCTAGTTAAAGCCTTCATTTCGACTAACAACCCTCCAAACCACTTCATTCTCAACATCAGTCTCCAAATATCTGAAGAGAACAATTCTATCATTAAGTTTACTATCATCATACGAAGGTCAAAAGATCGATTTCAATCTCATGAATATTCAATTTAAAAATTTATTTTAAATCGTCTTCCAACTAAAATCAAGAGTTTTATCCTCCTCCTCTAAACTTCCTATGACAATCTTATCATCAAGATACTATACATAAAAACAATATTAATTTTTTTAAAAAGATTATTAATATTAATTTTAAAAATGGTATAATATAAGACCTTTTTATATAAAGTAAACAAAAAAAAAGTGTATATAAACCTGCCATTTTTATGTTCTTTAGTCTCCATATACAACTCACAAAATTCAAAGAGCATAACGCATTTCAGCATGTGTTTATTGTTATTACTATAA